TTTGATCGCAGTGGTCATTGATATTCACTATGCCAACTCCTCATGACCGATCTGGGTTACTTCCGCCGCGGGCTGATCAGGACCGCAAAGAAACGGGCTCTCAGGGCGGTCCAAGGGTGCAGATGTGGACATGCCCCTCCATATCTCCCAGGCCTCTCAAATACACAGCTCAATATTTTAAGGGGTTTTTTAGGGATGTTAAGGGAAGGTCTGTGCAAAGTTTCAAAAATATCAAAAAATACGAAATTGGTGTTTTGGGTTAAGAAAGTTAATTAAAAGTGAAAAATAACAAGAAAATGAATTTTGACTCGATGTGCATGTTTTATACGTCATTCGAAGCGGAATTGTACCCTCTTTCACGCGCTTTGCTCGGTTTTTCAATATCTCTAACGGTTCAAAAGTTATGCGCACTTTTGTGAAACTAAAAATTTTTTTTTATTAAATGTCCCAAAAAAAGAGCTATGTCTTATCTCCCAAACCACTTGACTCAGACCAAAACCGTTTTACACCGTTCATAAGGACCCTAATTGGGGGCAAAACCCAAAAAAATTCAGACAGTTCTGAGGTGGTCGATCCCTCGACCTGGGTGAATTAGTGTGGAATGCCCCCCCTCCGCGGCTAGACGTTACACCCAGTAGGCTGCAAGGGCTGTAGGCTGCGCGTCGCAGCGTGTTGGCTTCGGGCGCCACCCGGGGCCCCCGGCTGCACTTTACAGCCACGTAGGCTGCCATGGCTGTAGGCGCGCGTCGCAGCGTGTTGGCTGCTGGTGCCAGCCGGGCCTTGGCTGGACTTTACAGCTATGTAGGCTGCCATGGTGTAGGCGAGCGTCGCAGCGTTTGGCTGCTGGGGGCAGCCGGGCCCGCGGCTGGACTTTGCAGCCAGGCGGGCTGCAATGGCTGTAGGCTGCACGCTGCGCGTCGCAGCGTGCTGGCTGCCAGCGACAGCCGCCGCGGCCACTTTCCAGCCACGCGGCTGCAATGGCTGTAGGCTGCGCGTCGCAGCGTGTTGGCTGCCGGATGCAGCCGGGCTACGGCAAGACTAAACAGCCATGTAGGCTGCAATGGCTGTAGGCTACGGATCAGCATGGTGGATGCTGGCGGTATTCAGGCGCACCCTTGTTTAAAAGGGTTATAAAAAATAGAAAAAAATAGAATGGGTGCGTGGTATGCTGATATTTGAGTTGAATACGTTAACAACTAACCCATGAAGTTTCGAAAAAATCGGGACACTTTTTTGTTATTTTTGATATCTGGGAAACGGTAAGTCCTAGATAAATTATTTACCAGTTTTGGGATCGGGAACGGTGTTGGGACCCTAAAAAATTACTAAGGGCTCCATAGAACTTAAAAGGGCGTAACAGGCCCCCTAAAAGGTCGTCAGGGGGACCTTCATGTACTAAGGAGTAAAGCCTAGTGCGATATGGGTGCTGCCGATGGCATCCACGAAGCTGCAGGAGCGGCCGAGATGTGGCTGTGATCCGCAGCTTCATAGCTGCCGGGTGCAGCGTGGCCCGGGCGAAAGAAGGCTGCCTGGAGCATCCAAAGGGCTGCGGGGGCCCTACAGCACGCCTCACAGCCTCCGGTTTCCCGGAGGCAGCGGGCCCGGGGAAAGGAAAGCTGCCTGGGGCATCTAAAGGGCGCGGGGTGCAGCTTAAGCAGGCCTCGCAGCCTCGTGGCTGCGGGGGGCACGTGGCTCGCGAAGGAAGGCTGTCTGGCGCATCCGCGGGTGCGGGGTCACCCTAAGCAGCGGGGGCAGCGCTGACTGGGCTAAAGGGCACTTCAGTGGCGGGCAGGTCAGCCTGAGACGTGCCCCGGCTGCGGATGGCTGTATTTTGGCTGACGTATGTCCGAATACAGCCAATGTCTGCAGCCATCCGGTTCCATCCACGCGTTGTCACCACCTGGGGGGAGCCAGCCTGCAGCCAATCTGCGCCTATAATTTTCTCTCGGGTCCCGTGGTCCGATCTTGACCAAATTTGGTATGCAGCCTCCTTTGGGGGACCCCAAGAACCGCCCGGTGGCAGCAAATCCGATCCGAGCCCCGGGGGGGGCTGCTGCGGGGCATCATGGGCTACATGGGGGCGAGGAGGATTTTGGCAACGGATACGGCTAGGAGGGGATGTAGGGGGATTTTGGAATGGGGGGACGAGAAAAAAAAAAATGGTGCCAGTTTCGAGCGAATCGGAGAAGTTCGGACCCCGGGGTTTAAATCCCAAAGGGGTATATTTTGAACATTCTTTTTTTTTCGAGTTTTGCATTGTTTTTAGTTTTTTGGGGGCGCTGATGACGAAAATAACATTTATTTTGGGCCCCAGACTAGGTTTAAACCCGTCAGGGTTAAACAAAGGCGAAATTCACACATCTGTTAATGTACGGGACGGGCCAAAGTTGCCGATGTATATCGCTACTTTTCCTGTTATTTCATCCAATAAAGCAGGAGGTGAGAGTCACTGGAAAAAATTGCTGTCCAAGGGTGTCATACAGGGTTGCCAACGGAACAAAAGGCTGTTCGCGGACGCGGACTTTTTGGACCATGGACAGCACGGAAGTTACATTTTGCCCAGTTTTAGCCTGTTTTGACAGGGAAATACTTGAACTGCATGCTCGATTAGTGTGTGGGATAGTAGGGGAGATGAAGCCCAGTCATAGGAATCAAACCACAGGTCGATACGTCGAAAAATAAGGAAACTGGCCCAAAGACACAAAAGGACCCACAATTTTGGCAACCTCCCATATCAGGACGGCCCCCGCATCAAAAAATCGTTTCTCCATCAGGTTTGCAGAGTTAAACGATCCTTCATTGACACTCTTTCCTCTTCACAGCTGCCAAATGAATTCGGGGGATCTGATCTTGTCCTGTAGGGCACACGAATACACCCGAACCTAATTATCCGACCAAGAAATGTATTTTGGGAGGCCCCCGTGCCAATGTGACGTTTCAAAATTTGATTGTGGGAATAAATGGTTGATTTGTATCGCTCATACTCCGATTCAACCGCCAAATGAAGTTGCGGAACCTGTTTTCAGTATGTGGACCCTTTTTAAGTACCAGCATCTGATTATGTGACAAAACTATTTCGGGACGGCCCCCGCGTCACAGTGGTGTGATAAAAATTGTTCGAGCCTCTCGAATGTGTTACGTGGGTCGCCCTTTACCCGTTCCACATCATTATCCTCATCCGCCCCATGTGAATGCACGTGCCTTTGAATGGGACAGAATCTTATAAAATCTTGTAAAATGGACCATTATGATTTCCATTCCCCCTTCTCCCCGTGATCCGCTAGGGTGACCTAGGCTTCTCAGAACATTTATATCGACTTAGAAACGCGTTATGAAGTAAAAGAAAAAAGAACGAAACCGATCGGTGATAATTCAAATATTTCAAAAATGTACCTAATTTATTCAAAGTTTCGAAACTTTGAACGCGTTGCGGGATCAGAAGATAGTGACCTATTCGAAAAAACTGTTTTGATCTCAGGCAACTTTTCCGCACTATTACGTTTCGATCATCGAAAAAAGTGGAAAAATGCTCCCTACTTAATATACCCCTTATTTACCGTTTCTACTTCGGAAATGTGCTATCGTATTTAATCCAGGAAGCGGAAGAAGGGAATAATTCGATTTATCTCCGTTTGTCTCCGTTTAAATTACAGAAACCGTCTACAGAATGATGCTACACTTTTGAAAATTGTCACAGTTAGGCTTCCTTGATAAAAACGCAATTGCATCATCCATCTGATTGGATAAAGTTTACCCTGCAAACAGTTTTTTGTTAGTTATCCCCTCCTTCTGCTTCATGGATCATTTAATGCACGATCCGAGTGACGTCACGTTGACCCGAACCGCCCGTTCCCCCTGCGTAGCGCAGCGTTACGCAGGACCAGGCATCCCCCTCTGGGCGTCTGATAGTTTGACGCCAGGACTTCCCGTGCATTAGCCTATCCGGGAGACCGCAGTGCATGCCGTGAACAAGTCTACTGAAATCACGCTGCATGGTGCAGCGGGACGAACAAGTACCTAAAAACTACATGAGGGCATTTCAGGGATGGTCTGGACCGGGAGCCACGAGCCGGGAACTCATTGTCAAGGAGCTAATTCCAAGGCGTAGGCTCCCACTTTTGAACAATAGAGTTGAGTCTTTAAAATTTTGGTGCTTATGCGTTTGCGTTAACACGCCGACTCATTCAATGAAGCACGTTAGATTGCGTAATTCCGGTACATAAGGTACATGTACACTGTAAAAAAATTCCGTACTTTTGTACGGAAATGGTTCCGAAAAATATAGTACGGAGGTACGGAGAAAAGTACGGAACGTTCCATACTTGCTCCATATGAACCCATGTAAATGGGTACGGAAAAAAAGTACGGAACGTTCCGTAGTTGGCAAGTACGGACGGTCCAGGCAAATTAATGACCAGACATGTACCGTACTTTTACCGTACTTTTTTCTCACAGTGTGCCAGCTCTTGCCTTCCGGTTCAGACCTCTGAAATGCCCCAACGCCGGTCTAGCCGAGTATGGTGGAAACCTGCACTTCCGGGCTGCACCGCGAAGACAATGTGTTTTCTCTTGTATTTTCCTCAGCAGTAGCACAATAGGGTACTTCGGAGAAAGCCTAGACCGGAAGTCAGCGACAGAACGGGAGAAACAAAAGAGCATCGCGCGGCCGTGCTGAGTTGTGGTGGGGGTCGAAATCGGCGGAGTGGGGGTGAAGGCGGCGCGCGCATACTACCCCCACTCTGCCGATTCCGGCCCCCACCACCGCTCAGCACGGCCGCGCGATGCTCTTTTGTTTCTCCCGTTCTGTCGCTGACTTCCGGTCTAGGTTTCCTCCGAAGTACCCTATTTGATCATGGTTATCCTCTTCGATTCCGAATGTCCCGGAAGTTCGGTGGCCTGATCCGACCAATCCGAAGCCTGCCTTCCCTCAGTGAGCGCGTCTCTGTAGATAAGAGGCTTCTGATCGGCCGGTGCGACCCAACTTCCGGTGCATTCGATCAATTAGGGATAGAACTTGGAACTCCTATGAAGCTTTCTGTTAGACTCCTCAGATCATTACCGATCACCGACTTAGAAACACTGACGTTATTTAAAAGAATTCCTGGACCGGAAGTCTAAGAACAGAAGTAGAACCTAAACGTCTTCGGCGCAGACGCTGCCTCAGCGTGGAGGGGGGGACTAACTTTCGTTCTTTGACTTCCGGTGTCACGAAGCCGTCCTTGGGCATGCTGTTGTGGTGACGGGTTACGAAAATGATTCCAATATTGCAGATAAGGACTTACGAGCTGAGCTTGGCGGGCCGTGGCAGAGGAGGAAGACGACGTTTCGACATCTTCCTGGACTCGGAGCAGCTTACTGTGCCGTGCACCACTCGCTGACGTCCGTGGGATGCTTTCGACGATTCACGAGTTGGTGCTTCCTACCATCGGACGAACCACCAGCTGTCTGGGTAAGCGACTTGAGAGCGGTAGTGGCGAAAGAGCTGGCTGGGCTGGCTTGACGTGTGGAAGGTTGCCAAGTTGCCCCCCCCCCCTCTCTTTCTCCATGTCCGCTGGCATCCCCATAGGCCCCATTTCCCATAGGCCCCATATCTTGGCTAAAGGGCAACGCTATTCCTTTTCCATGCAAGCGTAGAGGCCAGGCCCTCCTTCACTTACCTACGTTAATTTATTGAAGTCTTTGGGCAACGTCTTGTGTTAGATGGATGGCGATTTTGATTTGACTGATTCTGCTTCGCCGGAGGGCTTCTTTCATTCAATCTGATCGATGTGTCTTGCGATAGACGTAAACCATGAGAGTTGTGGAGCAGCTGTGTCGACTTTCGAATTTCCCGGGTGACGTGAGCAGTCGGGCGACCCGAGGCAACTCGGGTGATTCGGCCCGTTCGGCCGGCCGCCGACCCGACCAGCACGAGTTGCCGACGCCGACCCGACCAGCACGAGTTGCCGACTTCGTCGGTGCACATTCACATTGAAATTCAACCAGAGAACTCCACACGGACAGCAAGCGGACGGAATCTAAAATTTTTAGTATCTCACCCATCAAGGGCAAACCTCGGTGCTTCATATTTGGCAGGTATATGGTAAGTGACGTAACGTCTTTCGGAATAAAATGTCACGTCAAGTAAATGTCGTCACTAGTTTTCAGTATCTTATAGTGAATCGCGGCACCCTGCGAGCCCCCTCTGGTTTCAAGCGACATTTAAAACTAATGACAAGCAAGCTGTTAACAATTCAGAACTGTTGTTGACACCTTCATGCGGTTTCAATTATGATTATTTTCTGGAAACTCGCATTTCCTTATTAGTGATTTGACCCTCAACCTAACCTTATCCCACCGTCCCATTTCAGCTAATTTGTTAGTCGTTTTTCTTTTGTATTTAGTTGCATAGACTTTGTGAAAGTAATATAATGAACTGATCATCTTAAAGCTAACACTAGAAACTCTGAGTTGAGCCTTGTAGTCCACTTCTGTTACCCTTTTCCATCTCAGCGCAAGGATTAAGGCTTTACTTGGTTGTTACGTATCCACCCTACATTTGAGTTATCTTTCAAATCAATGAACTGCAAACCCTTTTGTATCTTCAATGTTGCTTTAATCTTCTAAGTTCCGAGGAATTTGGGTTCTATGAAGAGGAATTTCAGATCTTGAAGTGTCACCATTGGCTGCTGTGAAATAAAACCATGTATATTGTGGGTGAATTGTAAAAAAGAAAACCCTATTGAAAATTTATTTTGAACCTTAAAAGGGCAAACAACTGGGACTGGAAAAATAACTCCACATGGGAGATGACAGCTCTTTCAGTGCAGATACTTGCCTTCCTTTTTTTTCCGAAGTAGTAGTTTTTAGGGGAAACTACTTGTTGGAACAAAATTGGTTTAAAGGGCTATTCTTCAGGATGAAATAAAAAACAAAATGATAAGTGTTGTCTTCATGAAGAGCTCAATTAATACACTTATGAAATACGATTGATCCTTCAAGCTGACACATGTGGGAATGTATTTGTTCTTTAGTGACGTAATATGTTTCGTGGTTTGAATGTGATTCTGTTTGCTTAGTGGGACGACTAACAAAGTTTGAGTTAACGCTCAAAGTTTCTTGAAGGAATTGTTTCTTTTTCAGACCGCCCTAGAAATTTATAAGTCTCATCTTGTTTCACCTCTGTGGACTAAACCTGTTGTCTTATTTTTGTTTATGTACTGCTATTGAGGGCCAAGGGTGGATAAGAGAGGTACAAGGGTCCACAACACCCAAGTCAGGGTTTCATATGAAGACTTATAAATATGGAAACAACTGTTTCACTTTTACTTTATTTTTGTCTCATTAAAATGGCCGATTACATCCACTTCTTTCCACTAAAAACAACTACTTTTAGAAAAAAATTCATGATCTTTAAAGGATATGTTTCTGCAATAAAAGTATTTTCATCTTTCATGTAGAACTACTTTCTTAGTCTTGTGATTTGGTCTATTTTAAGGCTAAAAAGAACCTTCAATCAGATTTTAATGCTCTTTAAGAATATGTAACAGCCTCATCTGTGAGACTTCAAATAGACTTACCTTTCAGACATCCACATTGGTTTTGTTTCTTGCAGTTTTTCCTCAAAATAGCCATGTTTCACAGTAGCCCATGGGTCTGTCTGAAATTTTTCTTTAGGACTTTCACCCCTATTTCTACACAACCCACAAAGTTTGAGCCAAATCTGGCATCCCAAAGGGTTGGCAGTTTGTTGTTGGGAGAACCAAAGACACATTTGCAATCTTCACTTATCCTAATTTTATAGAAGCTGTTTAATACAAATGACAAGTGCTATTTGTAGTTGGGGACTCACTTTCGCATACTCTCAGCATAGTGAATTCTTTACAAGAAGTGCATAGCAGGCATTTTAGAATTTACTTTTAGCCATGTCATTTTTAAGTATGAAACGTTACCGTTAAATGTATTTTAATACCTGTCACAAATTTTAATTTACGGCTCAAAGTTTGTTTCAATTCCATAAACTCCAACCCCTAGGGAAAGGCCTGTCCCACTTTTAGTTTCTGAGTTTACGTAAACTTTGGGTTGTTTTCCCCCTTAAAGAATGAATATTGTTATTTCTCTTAGATCACATTACTTCATAGTCAATTAAGTTAATGACAAGGTTCTTTTCCCTGGTAAGGATTTTCTGTTTCATTGTTGTACTTGCAAAGATATTTCGTTACTTCTGAAAATTCTGTTACGCTGAATGTTAGCGTTGAAATATTCTTGCCAACATATAGAAATGTTCGTAGTTGCATTACCCCAACCATTTTATCTGTATTGACCAATGTATTCGGATCCTCCTTCCAAAAGCATGATAGATGAAGGATTTTAATTAAATAAATCAGTATTTTTACCCTCCCGCCTCCCTTTCTCTCTGAATGTTTAGTCCTTGAGAAGAGTGTAAATTTTTAAGGTCTCGACACTCTGTTTTCAAATTCTCAACACACTGATTTGCATGAAACGGGGTCAACCTAAGACATCAATATTTGTGGTTATTTTTATATATGTACCTCTCAGTTGCTCACACTAGAAAGTATTTTTTGTGCTCTATAGACGTGGAATCATTCAGCACAGCAATGAAGGCAAAATAGTTGCATTTTTCAATGCGGTTCCAAAGTTCAGTCTCTGTAAGATTTACTTTCCAGAAATTAGCTTAAATCACATTTAACATTTTTCTAGGGAACTTGACAATATAAAAACAGCCTTTTTGATGGGTTGCCCTGGTCCTGAAATTTTTGGTGTACTGTGCTCATTCATGTTCGATCCGGTTTGAAAATGCTGCATCAAATAGTTGTCTAATTTTTCTAATCAGAAGCGCTTCAAACTTTGTAATAAATTATTATTCTTTTTAACTCTTGTTTCCCTTTAGTTTCTCTGGAGGGTGCAACATTCAATTCTTGTAGTCTTTATGTTGCGTTTACATGTGCCTTATTTTCCTTTAAATTTTTTGCAGACCTCGGAGAATTGTCACAATTTTTTTTCGGCAAATCACGCTTCTACTCTCCGATTCCTTGGTGCGGACTCGTCAACGACCCGAGGTATGTATGAGACGTAACGCTGTTTCATGATCATATGGGCGAAGTCAAGGGGGAATATTCAGATAAAAACTAAAAACACTGAAAACGAAAGATGGGGCATATGGCTTGTACTGTAAGTAAGAGGAACCAGCAGAGCGCATACCAATCTAAGTGTGGAACAGTCTCGCACTACTTGGCGCGAAATACAATGTCCACACTTACAAGTGATCCACAAAGCGGAGGAAGGGGATATCTCCATTTTGGCTATTTTTCAGGAGAATAAAAAACTGTTAGCAGGGAAACTAAACAAATGGATGTTATTGATGATCATAAGTTTAAGGAGCATAAGTTAGGATATTTTGAGATAAAGATGAAAAGTGTCAGGTCACTCCGTAGAGGATTTCTGTGCCTTGTCACTTTCCGTTAAAATGGATAGGAGAGTCATCTCAACTTTTATTTCCGAAATGAAGTGCAATTCGGAGACAGGTCAAGTAGAATTAAAGTCTGTGTAATGTGTTTGTTACTCTGCTGTATTTTTTGGGACTTAAATTATATAATTTTCCCAATTCTAGGTTTTTTAAAAGAAGAGGGATGTTATGTGGACTGCATTCTGTTAACACTAGATTCTTAAAAATACAAGTTGAGTTATCTCCTATGGACAGTTTCATTAATGGAGTCATGTGCACTCTGGTTGAGTTTCACAGCTGCTAAATTGAGAGTGTGCAAGGAGTCAAGTTAAGTTCTGTCCTTTTTCTATTTTTCTCCTTAATTGTTGGGAAGTCAAAAGAGTTAGGAGGCGGAAAAAGTGAATAACTTGACTTACCTCCAAATTGAGTTTTTATTATATTATCCCTCCCCACACAACTATGTGGCTCAATTAATTCCTAGCAGCTAAGGAGAAAATCCAGATGAAAAAAGGATCCAACTTAACTTGACCCCTTTTATACTCTCAATTTAGCTGAGTATGTAAACAACTCAACCAAAGTCAACATGACTCCGTTGAACATATTATCCATGGGAGATAACTCAACTTGTGTCTTTATGAACCTTAAAGAATCAAGTCAACTTAACACTTCTTCATTTTAACAACTCTATTGGAAAAAAGGACTATGTCCAAAATATACAGCAGGGCATCACACATATACTTAATGCTCACTCTAGTTCCACTTGACTTGTCTCCAAATTTCACTTCGTTTGGGAAATGTAAGTTGAGACGACTGTTTTCTATTTTAACGGAAAGGCATGAGTAATAGAAGTCCTCTACGGAGTGACCTGACACTTTAAAAGTTGATCTCAAAATTTAACTTACGTTTCCTGAGCTCGTTAGCATCTATAACATTCATTTGTTAAATTTTAGTTCCCCTTCTAACAGTTTTTTGTTTCTGCCTGAAAATGGTCAAAATGGAGTCTTCTTCCGCTTCCTGGATATATTTGGTGTAGTGATGTTAACCTTTCTGAGGCATGATAATAACAACAAAAAGGAAAGACATCAAAGAATTGATATCACATGGGAGGGACTCGTTCTTTACAAAGCTAGATTGATGTGTCAGTCGCTGATCGTTACATGAATTGTCCTCAGACGATTTGTAATTTTGCATTTCAACGAACGCTTCCGGTTGGTTCTCCTCTCAGGCAGGGAACATCGATGCATCGCGATATCTCGAGATATCGATTCTCGTGCTTAATCGAATTTACACTAGAGTCCGTGAGTCCATGCCAAAAACCTGCTTTTTCCATGACCAAAACCCTCAGAAGGACACATTTCTTAAAAAAAGAAGTCAAACGAAACTTATTATTTCGTCTCTCATCTCCAACATAAGACATGCAACACCTGCCAAGAAATTTTCATTAGGAAGAAACCGCTAGCAGTTCTGAGACATATATCACGATTAGCGTGAAACGATGTTTCTTTATGACCAAATTTCTCAAAATTATCCATTGTCACTTGGAAAATACCCTCCTAGTTTTTTGTTGGCCAAAGATCTCTGGTCGTTGTCGTTGTTGTTTGCGTTCCAGTGGCGTTCTATATCAAAAGATGCAAACACTTGAAAAGAGGTTAGTTTCACATAATGCACTAAAAACGTCTCTCTTTCATGTTCATTTTCTCAGTATTTCTCATTGCAAGCAAAAAAAAAGTTCGTTTACGATCTAGCGACTGACACTCCATCTTTCATTTGATACCACTCTAATTTTCCACATGCTGTCAGATCTGAGATGAAAGATGTCCCCCCAAAACTCATTTTTGAACACAATACTCGTTCTCTTCACATAGAGTTTTGTATGTTAGTGAGTGGTGTGTAAAGAACGAGTAAAAACTTAATTTGTACTTAAGCCATTTAATGCACTTCCTCCGCTTCCTGGATCAAGTGTGATCCACGTTTGTCCCACGCTTGCTTGCAAGCGTGAGGAGACACGGTTTGTCGCACTTGAACTGTGAAGTCTAGTTTTACCGTCAACGGGGGTAACTTGGGACACTTTTTCACGTTTTTTGAACGCCAGAGGCAAGATTCTCAACCCAGACCATTGGATCCCAACTATGTTAAAGTTTGACCCTTTCCCCATGATTTCATGCTTGTCTGGTTCATTTGCCTCGATTATATCGTTTACAAGCGGTCTCGAAAGAGTGTCCCAAGTTACCCCATGACCGGGGGTAACTTGGGACAGTAGGTAATTAGCTACGTTCCCAGGCATCTATTGATGTTAATGGATGTAATAAATTTAAGTCACAACATGTAGACCAAGAATTAAGGCCTGGGAACTCTGGTAAGACCGATATTGGCCTATATCCAGGGCTCTACGTGGAACTCTCTTTTCTACTGGTATTTTCCAGGCATTTTCTGAAAATTTCAAAATATGAATTACCAGAAGACAAAACTGCAGAGCAACGCATCTCTTTCCATCATGAGCGTAAAATCCGAAGTTTAAGTTATGTCAGGGACCGGGTCAGTAAACTCCTAGGGGGCTATGACTGCTGGAAACATGAGGAAAAGACTGTCCCAAGTTACCCCGTAAAATTTCGATTTTTGAGAAAATGAAGTCTGGACCGAAGATGGGTAAACAATAATCAACGCCCTTTTGCGAACGTTATTGTCTGTGTATGATCTAACAACCCAGAGAGACTAATCGGCCAAATCTGCATTTCACTCCTTGCACTAGGGTCAACTTGTCAATGTTCGACATATTTTGTCAAAAACCCTATTATGTAGTTTCCCGTTTCTCAAATACTAATTGTGATGTTATGCACCTTTTCTACCTTTCCGCGTATGCCCTGAGGCATCTGAAGCAAAACCCTGCCGCGGGTTTGACGCTAGGAACCCCCGTCGCTGAATGGCAGCACCAACAAGCTGTACAGGGCAGACTGTCCCAAGTTACCCCCGGTGTCCCAAGTTACCCCCGTTGACGGTACCAGTGAATGCACGCTGTACCCTCCGAGTTGCCAAGATATAGGGCCAGTAGTCATAGGGCTTTTCGTGTTGCAGATCGCCGCACAAACATGGGCAAAGGTTCACCTCACAACTGTCGTGCTTGTGGTGCAGAGTTCCCCAGTTTTCGCGAGATGGCTTTGCACTTTCTCACCCATGCAACAGGAGCGGAACCTATCAAGTGCACAGTTTGCAGTAAACTGTGTAAGGATGGACCCGATTTCGCAACTCATCTTGAAACTCACTCAGAGAAAATGAGTCACCAATGTTCAGTTTGCGATAAGAAGTTCAAGACTCAAGGTTATCTGAGAAATCATGAGAGGATTCACACCGAGAGGTCTTTCCAGTGCACGATATGCAAAAAGAAATTTGCCACAGAATTGTACCTGAGGGAACATGAAAGGAATCACACAGCGGAAAAGCGTTTTGAATGCCCAGATTGCGGCAAAAAATTTCTGTTCAAGAAGAATCTCGAAATTCATCACCGAGTTCACACGGCCGTGAAGCCTTATGAGTCCACTATTGGCGATAAAAAATCTCGACGCCGGAATGCTCTTTCGATTCATTTTCGGACCCATACCGGCAAGCAGCCTTTCCAGTACCCAATCTTCAGCCGCAAGTTCACCACCAGAGGCACTCTGAAGGCGCATGTCGAGGCCCACTCCATGCAGGAGCCCATGGACCTGCGGTGCGTGGATAGGCGGGATCATGCAAGAGCGACAGAGACACGCCGGGTCTCCGCTGGCACCGCACCTGGAACTAACGCACAGGGCCCGGCACGGACCCCTTTGTGTTTGCCACCTCCCCCGGCCGTTCCACCAGTGTCACAGCCTGGCTGTGCGGCCAGCCCCAGCCAGGGCCGGACCTCGGTAGACCTGCGCAGACCCGACGCATTCGCCTCGCAGTGGAGTGCCAGCGTACCGGTGTTGCGGTCCACACGTGTCTTCTCTCCCACGAAGCCGAAGCCTTTGGAGTGTGCCAATCTCGGTACGGCGTTCCGAGAGGGCCGTGAGCTGCGACCTCCTCTCCCACCTCGAGCAGGACAGGAGCCTTTCCGTCACCCAGACGAGAAATTCGATCGACACAGTGCCCTTACACGCTACGCAAGAGCCTGCGTAGGCGAGGAGAAGCCCTGCCAGGACACGGGGCTTAATCAAAGGCTCCGTCGCAAAGATGACTCAAGTACACGTCTTGGAACCCACACAGCGGAGAAACCCCTAGACCTTCGGAAGGTCGCCCCGGCGGAACCGACGCCCGGCCCTGCCAAAGTGGGACCATTCGGCTCTGAATCTCCACCAAGCGAGGCCAATCCCACTCGTTGCCGGAACACGGAGAAGCCTTTGGTGTGCGCGGATTGCAATCCGAAGAGAAGTACGGAGTCATCTCTTTCAAACCATCTGAAAGCCCATACGAGAAGCAATATTCAACCTAACGAAGAAACCCACGCTGGAGAGAAACCGTTCAAGTGCACCATTTGCAAGAAGTTGAGCAACTCGTCTTATTCGAGTCACCTTGAAGCAGGCATGAAACTGAACCCTCGAACTCCTCGTCAAACCAACAGTGGAGGGAAGACTTACGAGTGCACAATATGCAATGAGAACTTTCGGACCAAAAGACTTCTGAGATTGCACGTTGAAAATCATAATCGTGTGGAGTCATGGAGATCAATCACCCCAACACTAACGCATCCCTTCGATAAGTCCTTCATGTATCAGTTTATGGCACAACCCATGGCGCCAATGTTCCAGCCCATCGATCCAAGGGCACCACTCATGTCACCCATGGCAGAGCTTATTGCAAAATTTTCGGCGCAGCCTGTGTCACAGCCCATGGCACAGCCTATGGCACAGCCTATGGCACAACCTATGGCACAGCCTATGGCACAACCTATGGCACAACCTATGGCACAGCCTATGGAACAGTCTACAACACAACCTGTGGTACAGCCTATGGCTCAACCTGTGGAGCAACCTATGGCGCAGCCTGTGACACAACCTTCGACGCAGCCTGCCAGTTCCGTCGAGTCTCGTGAGAAAGAACCCGACGAAACCGAACGTGTCCAGGGCAAGACGGCGTCAGATTCAATGCAGAAACCTTTCAAGTGCACACTTTGCAGTTCCAGTTTCAACTGTGAAGTTAATCTGGATCGTCATCTCCTTACCCATGAGTCCGAAAACGAACGCAGCAAGGGCAAGACGGCGTTAGAGTCAATGCAGAAACCTTTCAAGTGCACACTTTGCAGTTCAAGTTTCAACCGTGAAGTTAATCTGGATCGTCATCTCCTTACCCATGAGTACGAAAACAACGGCAGCAAGGGCGGGACGGCGTCAGAGTCAATGCAGAAACGGTTCGAGTGCACACCCTGCAGTTCAAGTTTCAAACATGAAGTCAATCTTGAACGTCACCTCCGTACCCATGAGTACGAAATCAACGGCAGCAAGGGCGGGACGGCGTCAGAGTCAATGCAGAAACGTTTCAAGTGCACACTTTGCAGTTCAAGTTTCAAACATGAAGTTAATCTTGAACGTCACCTCCGTACCCATGAGAGAAAAGGGCTGGACGGCCGGGTTTTATTATTCCACGATGTAATAAGACCCTATCAGTGCAAAGAATGCAGCAAATCATTTAGCTCCAGAGACAGGATGAGTTATCACATTGATAAAGACCATGTTCGTCCCATCAGTTGCGTAGTTTGCAACCAAGTTTTCGGTGATTCAAGCGCTCTTGCCTCCCACGTTAAAACTCACACAGGGCAAAAATGGTCATCATGGAACTAGCAATGTACACGCGTCGATTGGCAGGGGTAAGTAACCCTACAAAATTTCTGCCGTATACCTTTACTTGCTAGGGCACAGCGAGCAATCTTAATTCAGCCTAAATTTTACCTGTACTGTAAAAAATTACATACTTTTGTACGGAAATAGTACAGAAAAATATAGAACGGAGGTACATATGAACCCATGTAAATGGGTACGGAAAAAGGTACGAAACGTTCCGTAGTTGGCAAGTACGGGACGTTCCAGGCAAATTATTGACCAGACATGTTCCGTACTTTTTCCGTACTTTTTTCTCACAGTGAAGCGTTTTCACCAGAACGCACCCCTTCATAAATTTATCAATTTTGTCGTGCGACAAATCTGCTAAACGTCCTCAACGACATTCAATCAATGTGCATTACACTGTGGCAAAAAGGTACGGAAAATTCTGTTAATTTTTTTGCCAGGATTCTCCGTAGCCCTCTTATCAATATCCTCCGTAGGCTCTTACAGTATTCTCCGTAGGGCCGCACAGTATTCTCTGTAAGTCCGCACAGTCTTCTCCGTAGGACCTGGAAGACTGTATAGTCCTACGGAGATCACTGTAAGGTCCTACGGAGAATACTGTGCGGTCCTACGGAAAATACTGTAAGAGCCTACGGAGAATATTGATAAGGGGGCTACGGAGAATTACCACAAGCTGTTTACAGAATTTTCCGTAGCTTTTTGCCACAGTGTAGCGTGAATGAACACTGTTAAAATGTCGACCTAAAAAAGTTAGTAAGGTTTTGTAAGTGTAAGGTGCCACATGTTGCAGGTGCGGCCTGGAATCTGAGATGGCAGACGAACGCGAGTTCAGTGCGATGCGGCCCGACGAACTGTGGGTCCTGATCTTCTCGCGCGTCGACGAGTCGACTCTTCTGGACGCAGTCCCAGGGAAGTCCCGCTGGTTTGCAGGCGGTGTCGCGACCTGGCGAAGGGACTTGAGAAGCTGGGCCGGCGTCTCCGTCGGGGAGACGGTTCACAACGTCGGGTCGCTGACGCCTGCAGACTTTGCACGTGTCATCCCCCACGCGTCGGGCCTCCGCTGCCTGGGTCTCCAGTCCACCGATAGAACCTATGATACCGAGGTAGGTGGTACACTCTTAAAACCTTACGAAGTATTTTGAGCATACATGATCCAGGAAGCGGAAGAAGGGAATAACTTGACTTATCCCCAGATTGAGTTTGTATTTTAATATTGTGCCTTAGAATGGTTTCCTTCATTACACCAAATTATTTGACTGAATTCCAAGCAGTTTAGGAGAAAATCCACATGGAAAAAGGGTATAACTCAACTTAACCCCTTTTATGGTCTAAATTTCATTGGAAAATGGAGATAACTCAACGGAGGTCCACATGAGTCCGTTTGACAAATTGGCAAAAGGATATAACTCAACTTGTATTTTTATGAATCTTGTGTAAAAAGAATCAACTCAACTTAGCCCCCCCTTAATTTTAAATTTCAATTTGGAAAAAAGAGCTAAGTCCAAAAAATACACCAGGGTAACATACACTTTATGCAGACTATTGTTCCACTTGACTTGTCTCCAAATTCCTCTTTGTTTAGGAAATATAAGGTGAGCTGACTCTGTTTTCCATTTCAACGGAAAGCGATAAGTCGCAGAAATCCTCTACGGAGTGACCTTACACTTTTTATTTTTTTTCCAAAATTTTACTAATGCTTTTTGAAATTATGAACATGTGCAACATTCATTTGTTTTGTTTTAGTTTTCCCTCCTGGTTTCTCCTGGAAAATGGCCAAAATTGAGTTATCCCCTTCTTCCGCTTCCTGGATCACATATAACAAACTAAAATAAGGGAGTATGGGGCGATTTGTAACAGGGGCGATTCGTAACAAATGCGTATATTAATTTAAGTGAAGGGAGCAGAGGAAAATCTGAGTATGGCCCCTCTTTCACTTCAAGTAGAGCGTCCTTGAACAATGTAAGCGGATGTGATCGGTGCTCAGGTATAGTTTTGGAGGGCGTCTGAAATATAGGGTACACCGAAAACAGGCAAATCTTTTATTTTGAGTTCTAGGAAGTTTCTGTCTGAGGCTCCCCAGGTATGAATCACCATCGAAGTACCGTTGGGGCCTTGAAGCGTGACCCCTTTACAATGTAACCACGTGGCATAAGTTGCTTTTACTTTGTCCAGTGATAGTTAGGGACGGATTTCTTGCGTAACAGGCATTTGGGGTGATTCGTAACAGACCCGTATAAAAACAAGAATTTTAGTAGTTTTTGCAATTAAATGCTTGAATTATTTCTCGAATCATCTGCTGCCTAATTCCAATACATTTACACAGCTCAAAATGCATTTTAAAGCGAGTTATTCTATTCTTTCCTCCAAAATTGAAAAAAGAGAGGTTAGGGTTGACATAGCCGGTCAGTTAATACTGAGGCGGTCAACGGCAGCTTGTAATGTAGATTTTAAGGCGTCTGTAGGACATCCGAAGAACAACTGCTGGAGGAGATAACATTCCCGACGATGTTTCATTTAATGTGTAGGATGTTATGAAAAGCCCCATTGCTGTTACAAATCACCCCATGCTGGGGCGATTCGTAACAGCATGCAAGGGTTTGGAAAGCGTCTTAGATTTCAAAGATTACGGACTCCAGATTGATCCAATGGATCTGCACAGTCTAGATGAAGGGCCAGACTGCTCAACTGGCACAAGTTTGACACCGATATGCAGAATGTTCTTAATTTGGTAAAGAGAATTCCGAAATCTGTTACAAATCGCCCCATACTCCCTTACTTTGTTATACGAAGAAATAGTTCGGTAATTACGAAGTATTTTCTTTGTAAGCTTATGTATGCTCAAAATACTTTTGTTATACAAACTACTTTTCTTTGTAAGGCCCAAAATAGTTTGTAACGTTTTCTTCGTAGATAAGGGCGGGAACGAAAGTTTCTGGAACGGAGTTTCTGGGACGGAAGTTTTGCATTCTCAGCACGTTACTGACTTTTTCCTCATTTTGTCAGTACTTATGCAAGTAATTTGTGCAACCATAATACTTACTTTTCCTTTTTTGAAGAACTTGTGAGGAAATATTAAATAATGTCCTGACAATTTCATTTTGTGCATATTTCTACGAAGGAAATTAGTCATACTTAGAAGAACTATTGTTGTTGCGTATACGAATACGTAATTAATGAGGGAAGTCAGTAACGTGCTGAGCGCTCGGCTAAGCGTGTGGAACGGACTCTTCTGAAATTGACGACGAGTTCGCATAAGCGAAATGATCCAAACTTGTCTTTTTAATTAAATTAACGAGATTATTTTTGACATTGCCACTGTACCAGTGTCCCCACACCAGTTTCTCTCGTGTTGCAGGAAAGGTAGGGGTGGCCCGAGGACAGTTTACTGGTGTCGTCGCCGCGCCGTGGTGCGGAAGGAGGAGGTGCGTCTCACCGACTTGGCTCCCCTTCACCATGCATGAAGTGTGCTTCCCCTTCAGTGTGAGTGCTTCAGGATCAAAATGTGCGCATGTGGGACTCATTGTATCGCAGGGAAGGTTCAGGGTGCACTCTAGACATTGTATATTAAATATTCTCTATATTTTGGTGAAAATGTTCCATGTTATGGTGGTGCAGCTTACTTTATAACATATCAATGAGAAATCACTGTATCTTTAGATATTTCGACGAATTTTGTTTGTATTATGGAGAAAATAATATGTTGGTGCAGCCTTTCACCGTCATCTTCATGCTTTGACATTTACAGTGTGGTGCCGACGGCCCTCGTCAGGGACTTGATTCGCGCAGCGGCGTCCACACTGGAGGTGCTTAAGATCGGCAAAACCATCGAGGACTGCTCCGCGCCCCCCAACCCCGACCTGCGCGTGCTGCCGAGTGGGCCAGAAGACCGGTGGAGGCGGCCAAAACTCTAGACGCGTTTTGAGCTACAGAGTCGCTAAACAGGCCTCGAACCGAACGTGTGACCCCACCAATGGATTCCTCGTTCGGAAAGCAATCCATTGGTGGGGTCACAGGCTCGGTCCGAGTTCCATTTAGCGACTCGGCAGCCCAAAACGCGTCTAGGGTTTTGGCCGCCTCCACTGGTCTTCTGGCCCACTGTGTGCTGCCCAGTCTGCCGCGTACCGCCTTGAGACGCTGTGCCCCGAGTAGGGGTGAGTCGCGTCGAGGCCGCCCTGGATGCCTGCGTGGACCTGCCTGCTGCCCGGGCCAGTGTGGCCAGATTGGGCGGGGCCGGGCCCCGGGCTGCGCCGCACCCACTTCGTGCTGACCTCGCCGTACTCAGTCCGGGGCGAGGACGACCAGCTTTACGTGGGGCGACAGTACTACTACTCAGTTACCTTCTTTTTTCGATGGAATTCAGACCCTGACAATAGTGAAGTAAGGTTAAAAGTTACTTCCTTGCGGACTTCGTCTTAGGTTGCCTAAAATTTGACCAAAATAATTGTCATGGGTTGGAGCGAAACATTCTTGGGCACCTTATAAAATAAAGCAGCTGCTTTTTACTCGATCCATTTTTTAACAGTGTAGGTACCCCAGAGCTGAAAACGCGCTTAGACTTTTAGCCGCCTGCGCCGGTCTTGGCCCACTTTACATCGTGCGCCTTGCTCTCTCCAGTGTAGCGAAATTTCATCTTCTATTCTGTTACCTTTTGATGAACGCAAACTTATCATGTTAAATTCAGGACGAAATTAAACGATTTAATTTGGAACAAGTGGATGCGTGACACACCCTATTATTTCCCTCTAGACTGTCAAATCAAATCATTTCTCTCAAATTTATCTTTCAACGGAATGTCAGTCCAAGTCCGAATCAACATGCTTTCGCCGATTCGACTGTAACCTATTCGACACAAATCTTCAACAGATCTCTTTGTTCTATGCTCAAATTTCTGCCTCAGCAAAGGCTTGTAGGAATCTCAAGACAATTTAAAAAAAATACGTCAGATATTTGTTTAAATTATTCTGAGGTAAATCCCAAATTCACAAAGGTAGGATCTTGAACTCAAATTATGTTGGTCCTCATCAAAACTCATGTGAAAACAGTTATACCTCAAATAATCCAATTTCTACACAGGAAAGCTTGCAAGCATGTACGATTTGATTAAATGGAACGAAGAGGTGAAAATTTGTTTGTAGTGGTTTGTGGAGGAGTAGAAGAGATACGGTGAAGAAAAAATAAGCTAGATCATTATTGTTTATTTTGGAAGAAACAGTTGACATAAGTAGCACTACGTATACAATAATTTAAAGACAGTATAATCATCAAAACGACTGTTTCTTCACATTACCCGGTAACAACAAAAAAGGAAATAATATTTATAATATTTATAATATCTGAACATAAAACGGGTTTTAATGTGGCCCGCAGCCAAAATTTGCTGGAGCTATCAAGAACCTATTCACCTTCTATAACGGACGGGATAGATACTTCAAGAAATCGAATTTATCACTCGTCGTCGTCGTCGCTCTCAGACTCCTCTGAGGAAGATGTTGAAAGTTTCGCGCGCTTGCTGTCCTGCTCACATTTGTCTTCCACGCCAGCAACGCCCTGAAGCTCCACCTTCTCGAAGTCGATGGAGACGTAGTGCCCGTAGTGGCAAAAAGTGCAGTCCTTGGAGTTGCGCTTGTTGGGCGTGTGCTTGTAGGACAGTGCAGTCAGGCTGGCCTCCAGGAGAAATCCTAGCAGCTTGGTCTGCTTACCCTCGCTAGGTTTGCAGCTGCAAGAGGGAGATAAACAATCAATGAGTACATAGGTAGTGTCATTTGGTTACGGGATCGCACTGGGGAAAGTAAAGCGTAATTCTATGCTTGAGTCAAGCATAAAGTTACCCTTGAAAACATGAAGCTTGAAATACACCAGAAAAAAACCCATGCATTTAGATAAGGGAAAAAAAACCATGCATTTAGATAAGGGAAAAAAAACCATGCATTTAGATAAGGGGAGTCCAGGCAGATGAGCCTGTCACAGTTGAAATCAAGCGTTTGATTTCTATGGGCTTGATTAAGCGTAAACTGATAATGTTTGAAAACAGGGGCTTTACTGCTCTTTAGTTTTACAAGTGCATCCACATATTATGCAATCACCACGGAAAGATGGGGAGAAGGAGGCTATGTTTACGTATGTCTTGAGCATGGACGATTGGATAGGAAATGATTACATGGAGGAGGGAGGGGTTGAAAGGCGCCCATAAAGGTGAGTGAGTAGTATGTAGACAACCCCAACGAACAAGAGCAAAAATTCTTGAATCGTTGTTAGGAGGGCGATAACACCAAAACTGCTGATCTCATGCCAAAATTTGAATGCATGTATTAAAGATTGGATCTCACGTACCAAGCTTCAGCAAAGGGTCAGAATACACTTGTCAATTAAAATGTTGCTATTGTACAACAGAATACATCTCAATTTGTTACCCAAAATAATTTTAACGATAGCAATTTGTTGAATGGAATTTCCACATGTAACGTAACTGGGGGGGCATCTTAAGAGGTAGAGCAATGGGACAAAGCTTAAAATCACCAAAAATTAAATGGAAAAAGTGACGTGAGCATTTTTTAAGTATCGTGCTTGTTATTCTAGAAACTGCCTGGTATTATACAAGAACAAATATCTTAAAGTTCCATGTTGTATGAAACTTGAGAATTTACTCCGACAAACTTGACTGGTGTGCCATATGCTAAAGAAAAGCTTCTTTCACTTTTTAGAATAGGGTATAAGTACAGATTGAAACATACATAAATGCTCTATATTTGCAGACTTCAGAACGTTGCAAAACATATTTAGGGGGCCGCAACTCTTGTATCAGGCATATACAAGATGACGAGATTAACAGGAATTCCAGTTCAGATTCTGCGCTTCTTTTTTGAAACTTGGATTGATGGGCATAAATTGAAATAAAAAGGGTTGCTATATGGTTTGCAATCCAGTGATGGAACTAGACGCGTTTTGAGCTCCAGAGTCGCTCAATGGGACTCGAACCGAACGTGTGACCCCACCATCGGATTGCTCTCCGAACGAGAAATCCATTGGTGGGGTCACACGTTCGGTGCGAGTCTTATTCAGCGACTCTGGAGTTCAAAACCCGTCTGGAATCTCGACCGCCTCCAACGGTCGTCTGGCCCACTGTGGGGCGACTGAGGGGGTTAACACTCGCGTAATACGCTGTACACAAAAACCGAGTATTACGCCAATTGCACGTAGATTTTAAGACCATTTTTGGGCCAAACGTGCCAAATTAAAGCATTTTCATGCCGTCATTCACCTGTAAGATCCCCGTAATACCGAGTACTCTGTACACGATTACTTTGGAGTGTAGGCTCCCTTGGCCGCGACTTACTTGCGAGTGTAGACCTCGAGGCGTCGGCGTGCGGGGTGGACGAGCACGGCGCCGGGACGCAGCCCCTCTCTGCCCGCGCCACCGGGCCGGTCCGGCAGGAGGGCGACCACGTCGAGGGGGATCTCCACGCCGTCCGCGTAGAAGAAGCTGAAGGGGCAGGAGCAGTCACTCTTGAACTGGAGAGACACGCCCTTGAGCGCCTGCCGCAGCGACGCGCCGAGGGCCGGCGACAGTGATGAGCCGTCCAGGGCCAACAGCACCGACACGCGCCCGGGCTCCCAGCCCCGGAGGTCGTCGTCCATCCAGCCGGAGTGCTTCACGGTCAGCGTGGGGGAGCTGGAGACGACGCCGTCCTGGCAGGCAGAGTCGATCAGGGTCAGTTCACTATTAAGGGCACTCTTAAAACCTTACGAAGTATTTTGAGCATACATGCAACAAACTAAAATACTTCGTTATACGAAGAAATAGGTCGTAAATTACGAAGTATTTTCTTTGTTAGCTTACGTTTGTTCAAAATACTTTGTTATACAAACTACGTTTCTTTGTAAGGCTGAAAATAGTTTGATAGGTTTTCTCAGTAGGGGAACCCTGGTGAAAAAATGGCCAAAATTGCCAAAAAAAGTATTTTCAAAGTTCACAGATGAAAATGTGCGTAGAAGGTTTCTTTATCATTTGGAAGGAAATAACATTGAGATCAGTTGTCGTTGGCTCCTACGCTCAACTTCACAGCTTTGCTCAGTCGACAAAAAAAAATTTGTCATAGAAAGACTTCCTGCGTTCTTGGTTGACACCAACATGAGTATGAGTCGTCTTGCATGGACTCTATTCATTGAAGACTTGTCGACAAATTTTAGTTGAAAGTTTCACCAGGGTCCCCCCCTTAACAATTGATGTCCCTTCATGACAACGTCCTGCACACTACATTACTATGTGGCTTTCCTGCGCGCCCGCTCAGAGTCCAAACGCTATGAGTGTCAATTGGTGCGATGAAAAAGCATCGCACGTTAAGTGCAATGCCTCCCCAATCCCATGCATTAGCATAGGGCATTTTCGGGACGCATTGCACGTAAGGTGCAATGTGGCTATCGCATTGTACGTGTGGTGCGGTATCTCAGCTGCATCGCACCCACCATACGTGCTATACTCATAGCGTTTGGAATCTCAGTGCAGCGCGGGTATGCAGAAATCTACGAGAACACATTGAAAATTTAAGTGTGTACTCAATACTTTGTACGTTATGAAGTGCACGTTTAATTTCGTGCATTGACGCGCAGAAAAATCTACATAGTGATTTAGTGTGTTAGCATAGTCTCACCTTGGCTCTCTGGCACGCGTCCTTGCAGGCGTCCACCGCGGCCTGCGCCTTCCGCAGGTTGGCCTGGGCGGCCTTCAGCTGCTTCTGGAGCTCAGCGCTGCTGCGGATCTGCACAGAGTGTGCCGGGCAGGGAGACTTCTTCAGGCATGTCGAACAGGTCCACCACCTGCGAAGCAAGACGGAAAGAGCACACTGTCATTCATGTTGTGATGATTTGCTACAAAATTTAGCGACGAAACCGAGTTTGGGATCCTCACGACTTATCGCACCCTGGAGTGCAATAATTTAAGCAATAGACACCCATTAATTGAGGCGGTTAAAGAGCCTTTTGACACATCCTTTTTTGGCGTTCACTTTTTATTGGATTTTCTTCGTAGGCCGAGATAATTTAATGCAAAATTTAGCTATAAATTCGTTTCTTTAATATTCATCCCTGCAAAAAATGGGTGAGTCCTTCATTATAAAATATAGGCATAGTTTACTCCAGTTTGAATACTATATTCATGCGAGCTGTGGTTGAAGACCGGAAAGGAATCGCAACACTTTCACTCACTCTCATTGGCACCTCTTGCTTAGGAGAATGGGTAGTGACCCGAAAAGAGAAAGGGATGATTATCCTTCACGAAACTACGTAAAGTTCGAAAAAGAAGGGGGCGAGAGAAAACACTGAAAAGAATCCTGCGTACTTTGAAGCCAGCCTGTACAGATTTAGGTGCTACAGAAGTCAGCGCATGTTACACTTTCATTTCAGAAACGTGACCATCACGTTCAGATGAATGTGACAAAATGTCACGTTCGTTTGAAAAGCTTTAAAGGCTGATTCACATCCAAACGAATAATGTGACAGAATGCTTTAAGTGGCGTAACATTTTGTCACATTCGTTCCAACGTGATGTCACGTTCCTAGAATGAGTGTACGCAGGGCGTTGCCTGATGAATAGCACAACAGAACATCACGGACAAGCGAAGCGGCCTGTTACGCAAGCCGTTGTATCGTACACACACTCTGAAAACCTTACAAGATAAACTGCTGTTCAACTTACAGCAGCTTGTTGCGACAAAGTAAGCTTCCAAAGCACTTCGTATAATCTATAAAATTTTCGTATAATCTACAATATATAATCTTTCATAGAATAATCTAAGTAAATAAACTTTATAACCGACGCATGCTCGTAATCCAACGTTTCGGAGGAGCAGGGCAGCCTGTTACGCAAGACGGGAAGTCACGAACTTAAGTCAAACTTACAGCCTGTTACGCAAGACGAGAAGTAACGAACTTTAGTCACGAGAGGTAACGAACTTTAGTCAAACTTACTTGTCTCCGTTGGAGGATCCTCCCGCCCTGGCTGCCATTCTGGTACTGAAGTCAGCTGTCTTGTCTGGGATTGAAGTTAGCTGCCACAAAATCCAATCGGAACGTCAAGCAGTCTTCGCAACACTCGAGCTCATCACAGCTTCAAAGGTGAGCAAACTCTTAAATTTCTGAACAGTACTGAGCGGTACTGGGGCGTGCAAGTTGGCAAGTTCCCCAGGGGAAAGCGGGCTGCTTTTGTCTCCTGCTCTCGGAAGTCCTCGGAGTGTG